TAGTAGTGTGGGTCTCCTGGCCATTGCTGGGTTTAGTGTGTAGGTGCAGGGGTGGTGGTAGTGGGCTGTGATACACAGGAGGTTGATCTAGTGGTCCCTTCTGGCTTTAAACACTAGGACTTGCCCTAATCACTACACTGCCCTGGCTACCTGGCTTAGACCTCAGCAGGTGGAATTCTCCTGAGCATGACACATACGACTTCTGCTCCAGCTGCTATTTACAGAGGTGCTGAGCACCCCCCCACTCCCACTGTCATCCAAGGTACAGGTACAGATAGGACCTACCTTTCCTGCTGCCCAAGCCTAGGCTCAGCCCCGAGGCTAGCCATCTAGCCCTCCCCAGCCACAATTAGCCTGGCTTTACTGTATGGCTGAAGTCTTTGCAGCATTATGCTACCATAGCTTAGAGTTGGCCATGAAATCCCATCTACACGAGCATCCAGCTGTCCTAAAATACTGGGTAATGATGCTGCTCAGGGATCTGGTTCTAGCACACACTAGCCAGGATGACATAGGGCACAGTGCAGACCACAGTGGACAAACATTTGAGTGCTGCGGAAAATGAAATTAGCTGCATTTCCAATGTCTGTCTTCCCCACCCCTACCCCCAGATGCACACTGGCCATTTTACACAGCATCTTCCATGCCAAAGAGCTAAGTTTACCATGTTTAAAGTTCCCAAAAAGAGGATATGGCAGGAGGGGGGAGGGCACAGCTGTGTGTGTGTGAACTGTGGCAGTATTTGGGGGAGGAACTGGAGGAATGTATGTACTTGGGGGGGGGGGGGGGGGGGGGCGGGGGGGAGGGGTGGTGGTGTCTGGCTAGTGGCCCCGAGACCACTTAGAGAGATTAATGAGTTTGCTCTACAGCCTTAGCTAACAGCCAGTTGGCTTTTAGCTCATGTAGTAGCGGCTCATGCACTAAGCTCCAGAGGCCCCAGGTTCAATCCCATCCGCTGACAACCAGGGGTTTGTTGGTGGTGTTACATATGTACACTGGAAGGTGTGTGTGTACTGTGAGGATTACCTGGGGGCAGATGTTAGAGGGGTGTTTTTGTACCTGGCTGTATGTGCTGGAGGGGAGTGTTTGTACTGGGAGATGTATCTGGCGGGTGCTGGAAGGGGTGTGGATTGGGAGGGATACTGGAAGGATGTCTGTGTGTGTGTACTGGTATTGTAGCTCGGGGGTCCTGGAAGGCATGTTTGTGTACTGGGGATGCAGGAGGATTGTGTGTTTACTGGGAGAGGTACACGGGGGGTCCTTGGGGGGGGGGGGGGGTGTTTTCATACTGGGCGGGGTGATGGAAGAGGTGTGTGTATTGGGACATGTACCTGAGGGATGCTGGAAGTGGTGTATGTCTTGTGGGAGGGGTGCCTGGTGGTGTTGGAGGGGGGGGGGTCTGTGTAACTGGGAGGGATACCTGGGGTGGTGGTGGAGTGGGTGTATGTATACTTGGGGGATGCTGGAGGGGCATATGTGTGTACACTGTGAGGGAATGTTGGGGGTGTGCTGGAGGGATGTCTGTGTACGGGATGGGGGATTTGGCGGTGGGGTGCTTGTGTACCGGGGGGCAGGGGAGGGTGCTGGAAGGTTGTGTATGTGTGTGTGTGTGTGTGTGCGCGCACACACTGGGAGGGTTGCCTTGGGGGGTGCTTGAAGGGTGTGTGTACTGAGAGGGGTATCTTTGACTGTGTGTATATGTGTACTGGGAGGCATAGCTGGGTGGTGCTGGAAGGGGTCTATATGTAATGGGAGGGGGTTACCTGGCAGGGTGCTGGAGGAGGGCATATGAGGCGGGAGGGTTACCTGAGTGGCTGTTGGAGCTTGCTTTTTTGTGTGTATGTGTGTGTGGAGGGGTATTTGAGGCAGTGCAAGAATAGGTATATGTATACTGGGGTGGGATGCTGGAGGGGTGTTTGCGTACGGGGGTGTGTGTGTGTCCTGGATTGGGGGGGGGGCGGGTTGTGTACTGGGAAGGGTACCAGGGGTGTGTGCGCTGTAAGGAGTGTATGTGTGCTGGCGGATGTGTGTAGACTGTGAAGAGTATCTGGGGGCAGGTGTTGGAAGGGTTTATGTGTACTGAGGGGGGTGCTGGTGTGTATGTGCGCACGCACTGAGTGGGGTATTTGCAGGGGCGCTGGAAGGGCTGTGTTTGTATTGGGAGCGTTTCCTGGGGGAGGTGCTGGAGGTGGGTGTATGTAGTGGGAGGTGTACCTGGGGGAGTGTTGGAGCTATGTGTGTGTAGTGGGAGAGGTACCGGGGGGGTGCGGGAAGGGATGTATGTGTACTGGAGTGTGTGGGTACTGGGAGGCCTACCTGGATGTGTATGTGGAAGGGGTATCAGTGTGCTGGAGAGGGGGTGTGTGTGTACTGGGAAGGGTACCTGGGAGGTTGTGGCAGTGGTTATGTGTACTGGGAGGGTTGCTGGATACGTGTGCACGCACTGGGAGAGGTTTTTTGGGGGGGGTGCTGGAGGGGTGTAGGCATACTGGGAGGCATTCCTGGATGGTGCTGGAAGGGCTGTGTTTATATTGGGAGGGGTACCTGGAGGTGGGCGTATGTACTTGGACAGGGTACCTGGGGTGTGTGGGAGGGGTACCTGTGGGATGCTGGCATGTGTACCCACTGTTGAGGTGGAGGGGCAGGGTCGGTCCCTGTCACAGTACCAGGGTGGGTGATGCAGACCTGGGACGCAGCAACAGCCGTCCGTCATGTCAGCACCTCTTGGCGGGGCTCTCCCCCTCTCCAGGGCTGGGAGTCTGGGCCTCAGTGGGAAAGATCTAGCAGCTGCAAGGGACCAATCAGGAAGCAGACCAACTTTCTGAGCTGTCGGCTCTGCACCAGAAAAATCCCGGGCATTGCCTTTTATTTGAAAAATCCTCCTGTACAGAGGATCAAAAAAGAGGCAATGACTGGGAAAAACCCTGACTTATGCATTTTGCAGCAAAATAGCAGGTAGCGAGCATGCAAGTGTCATGTGCTTAGGCACTGAATTAATCCACTGCTGCCTATGGTAAAATGACCATAGTGTTCATTTGGGTTTATATGATATCATGAGTGTATATACCTCATCCTAGCTTGGCAACCAACAGGTTAGTGTCCGACCTGCCAGTCAATGCTGATTGGCAGCCTCACAGCAGCTGGGAGAATAAAAGAGCAGGGCAGCAGAGGGATGGGAGGACTGCCAGAGGAGCAAACAGGTGGGAGAAGAAACTCCAGCCAGCAAGCAGCTGAGAAGCCACGCGGCGAAAGGATGCCTGACCCTACAGACTGGAGCTGCCTATAGAAACCAAGGGAGGTAGGTTAGAGTTGTTGAGCCTTGACTTTGCCTGGTTTAAGGGCCCTGAGCTGAAATCCAGTGGAGTGGACGTGCCTGGGTTCCTCTGCTATTCCCCTGGGAGCAGGGCTGGCTCCAGGCACCAGGCACCCAAGCTGGTGCTTGGGGCGGCACCTGG